CCCGGGGGAACCAGGACCAGAGGGTTCTGGGTTGGAGTCCCGGGGGAACCAGGACCAGAGGGTTCTGGGTTGGAGTCCCGGGGGAACCAGGACCTTTCTGGGTGGAGTCTGCATGTTCTCCTGTGTCTGTGGGTTCTCTCCGGGTTCTCCGGCTTCCTCCCACCGTCCAAAAACCTGCATGTTAGGTTGGTTGGACTCCAAACTGCCCTTAGTGTGAGTGTGTGTGCTTGTTGGTCCTTGTGTGTCTCTGTGTGTCCCTGTGATGGACTGGGGACCGTCCAGGGTGACCCCGCCTCTCCCCATTGGCTACTTGGACAGGCTCCAGTCCCCCCCAACCCCATTAGGGGATGAGGGGGTAACGATAATGGATGAATCTTAATATCATGAGCTGGTTCTAAAACTGAGGCATGGACTAGAGGGACAGGGGGGTCAGGGAACACATGTTCCTTTTCCCTTATCATTTAAATGTGGCCCGACTTCAAAGTAGAAATCTAAAATGTTTCACGGTTAACAGAAATAGTTAAGGAGGTGCTCACACCCAAATGCTTTTAATGTATTGCCAAAAAGATGAAGATTTAGGAGAGCAATCCTGGGACCTCCAGTCCTGCTCAGGATTAATGGTGCTGGAAATTGCTAGCACAGCTTTCGCCAAAGGTTTTCAAAGAGCTTTACGTCCCTGCTCCCCCTCACCACACAGACCCCTCACACTTTAGCTTCCTGGAAAAGACTGTGTTAGCCTCAAACTTAAATTCAACTTTACTGGATCAGGATAAATACATTTTCCATTAAGCTCTAATGTTGTTATTCATCTGCCCCCAACACCAAAGCAGTCCCACAGCATAATGGAGCCCCCCACCAGGTTCTACTGGAGGTCAGATGTTATTTTCCTCATGAGGCAAAGTTCCCTATCGATAGAAAATGATTAACGACTCATTTATGCTATAGTATCTCCTGTCAGTACCACATTATCTGAGAAATTCTCTGGCTTATCTCTGAAGACTTTGCAAGTTCTAGCCCCGTCCTTTAATGCCTTTATCTCTGTGGTCACGTCAGCCTTTGCCCATCAGCTCCACTCAGTTCATGGAATATGGGCTCAAACCCCCACGGAGGG